TGCTTTTGACGGGTTATGGCATGCGCGCGCGATAGCGCGCTCGTGTGCACTTCGTGCAGTTTTTTTTGTTAGTTGTTTTTTTGTTTCTTTCTTTCTTTCTTTCTCTCTCTTTCTCTCTTCTTTCTCAGTTGAGTTTGGATGAGCGGGTGTGCGTGCATCGTGTTTTTGCAGAGGATGGCGGGGTGTCGATACCCGCCTGCCAGGGATGATTTGAAATCATATGTAGGATGGACGATGGGGCAGAAGCATATCTAAGTCGCAATACGAAAAGGGGTACCAACAATCCCAGTGTTTTTTTTTCGTGTGTGTGTGTGGGGTATATATATATATGTATATATATGTATAAAACAAAAAAACGCAATCTATAAAAAAGGGAATACATGCGACGGTGGCGGCGGCGACGGACGGTACCGCCCGCAAAAACCCTCACTCGCCCCGAGCGTCGGCGACGGCGACGGCGGCGACGGGCTGCGCCGGGCTGCGCCGCTTGCAAAAACCGCCGCCCGTTCCGAGCGGCGGCGGCGGCAACGGCGGCGACGGGGGGCACCGCCCGTGCAAGCCGCCACTCACCCCGAGAGGGTTAGGGCAAGTAAGACGCCCAAAGTGCAAACACTGTTTGGAGTTTTTTGTTAAATTAAATTAAAAATGAAGACTTGGACAATCAGAACGATATGACACATGATAATACCAATACTATCAATACTAAACAATGAACATCTTAAGGCGAATAGTGCGACAACATTTACCACTAAGAGGAGGAAGAGGAGGGACAGGTCAGCAGAAGGTGGAGTGTTTACGGTGGGACAACAAATATTTGGCGTCTCGGAAGCCACCGTTGGGCCTTTTTTTGGGGCGTTTTTGCGGGCCCTCTTTTTGAGCCGCCCCTGGGTGCGGAGAGGGGTGGGGTCTGGGGGCCGGGCGGGGCGCCCCGCGGGGGGCGTGCGGTGGAACGCGGGGGGTTTGCCGCGGTAGGTCGCGTCAAATGTCTGAAGGGGCCTCGTCGTTCTCTTGACGGCCCCGTCGGGTCAACCCGGGTCCCCCGAGCCCGAGTCTTACGTCTCCCTGATGGTGGCCGTTGCTTTTCGTCGTCTCGTCTGGAGGACCGAAGTGGGTTCGGAAAGGAGGGGCACAAAGGGTCGTCGGGCGCCATGGCACGTTCACCGTCGCATTTGTTGTTTAGACAGATCGCAGAAGCGCAGGGACTGTTGGCCGACGCAAGGGAGGGCATGTCGGACTGGATGCGTCGGGGGGCCCTCAGTATTGTTTCGCCTTTGGCGTCGCAGGATACGAAGGTGACGAACAAAAACAACGCCAACCGTTCCAAACGCGGTGGCGGACACTCCAGCAAGCCTCGAGGGTATGTGGACAGATTTTTTGGTGAGCGGCCACCTGCAGCTCAAGGGCAAGGATGCCCTAGTGGTGAGTGTCCAGTCATCGATTGGCCTGGTCAGGACCCGCATGAGAAGGGGTTGCCCGACTTCGTAGCAGGTGCCGTCCCGTGCTCGGTCCTCAGGGTGTGCAATCACATGATCGATCCTGTGGGGCAGGGCTACGAATGTCCCTTCGATCACGACATGTGCGGCGAGCTCGACGACGTTGCGCGCTATGAGTTTGCCACGGTATTGGACTTGACAAATGACGATGGTACGCCCGGTAGTATATTCCATGGTGACGCGCTTGGGATAGTTTTTTTTTCACAGTGGAGTTGCTGCGGGAAGCTTGGAGCTACCCTTTAGCACTGGTCTCCATGGATCCTAATGCAATAGAAAGTGAGCCGGCCCACCTCATGTGCAGGCATCCGTCGCTTTTATCGTTTGCGATTGGGAGGCGGACGTCTACATGGCCTGGACCAGGGGGGAGTTCGTACATTTGAGTCGTTCGCAGATTCTCTGTCAGCCAGTGTCGCTTGAGGAGTGGGCGGCAGTGCAGGTTCAATGAGTGGGTATTTCGGATACCTACTCAGAGTGGGTCGAACAAGCAAGCGGAAATGTACGCACAGCTGAACCCAAACAGCACCATCCGCGGAATGTACTGCTACGCCGTTGTCTCGAGACCCAACGTTCGCGGAGCTTCCCGTTGTTTAGGGTCTCCCTGCCAGGGTAAGTTTGATCGATTCTCGCGGGCAAGGAGGGAGGGAAATCAAGCTGGACTCATCGAGCTGGAAGACCCATCGTGCTGGGATGCCCCTGGCGTCCTCGCTCCAAGACATGGCTCAAGGCTTCAGCCCGCGCGCGCTGTTCCAGCACGGCAGCCGTCAGTGGTGCTTTCAGGGCACCCGCAGACGTGAATCGTCCCGTGCCTCGTCATCCCTTCCTGCTTGTCCTCATCATGCTTACACGCCGGTCGTTGAAAGTAGGCATTTTTGGATTCCCAGATTCCAATCTACTGCAAGCGCCCTTCTACTTCAAGAGTCGGCATGCCTCTGCTGTCGTTTGTCATCTGGGAGGACCTGGACCCAGTCTACTGTATCCGCCCTCCTGCTTCACGCTTCTACCTACTTCTTCCGACCGACGTGTATCTTTTCCATCGCCCTCGCTGTTCTCTGACTCCGCGCCTCAAAATTCTCTCTGTCTCCCCGTGGCCCTCGCGGCAGCCAGCCTGTAGCTGCCGCCCATCTCACGCCCCCTCGCTTCTCCGTGCCGCGGCGCTCTTCGGCGCTCGGTCAAGGGTGCGTGCTGCCCAGGCGGGGTGGGCTCGCTCGGGGCCCTGATCGGGCTGTCGGGAAGGCCGCTCCAGAAGGCTGAAAAGAAGCAAGTGTAAAATCCTTTGTCTGGCCTTCCTGGAGGCCCTCGTGGAGGCCTCAAGCCCTGGGCGGCCGCAGGGGAGTTCTGTGCCGTCTCTCCGTGGGCAGGCCGTGGACCGGGTTCAGGCCATGGGCATCCTTGCCGCTTCCCCCGTCCAGGGTTTTCGTCTCGGGCCTGGGGGCTCTCGAGCTTGCGCTCGCGCGCAGCGCTCGGGGCGGCAGGCAGGCTGCACCGCTCGACCGGGGGAGGGGCCGGGGAGGATCGGCGGCTGGCTGGGGAGGGGGGCAGGGCCTGCTCCTGCCGGGCAGCCCGCCGTGGCACCGCGCTCGCCTGCTCCCTGTGGGTCGGGAGGTCGGCGTGCCCGCGTATCCATGCCTCCCGTCCTCTCGGATGCCCCCGACCCTCCGGGGGTCGCGACAGGCTGCGCGCGCGAGGCGGCCGTGCCGCCAGCAGGCGGCGCGTGCGTGGCCTTTCCCGTGCGCGATCGCCGCCAGCCCGCTCGCACGTCGCCCTCCGGCAGGAGCAGAGCCTCGGCCTCCTGGCCCCCCTCCTCCCCTCCTTGGAGGCCCGTGGGTGGGCTCCGGCACCAGTGCCGGCGTCGCAGTCTGCGCTCTGCGGCCCTTCCGCCTCTCGACCAGGCGGAGGAGTGGCCCTTCGCTGGAGTGGCTTCTGCTCGCGGGCCCATGTGGGCCCCCGGTCGCCGAACGCGATGAGATTGTGTAGGGGAGGGATCAATGACATAAACATAAGAAACTCGGAGGTCCGCGCGGATTTCTCGGGTCGGCGCCGGAGGCGCCACCAGGGGGCCCCAGCGCCGATCCGAGGAATCCTCGCGGATCTCCGAGTTTTGATGTTTGTGTAATGAAATGTCTCGTTCCCCTACAGTAGCGCCCTGCGCGCTTGGGTTGGTCCCCCCGCGGCGCCCCAGAAGCCGCGCGCCAAAGTTCGCGATGGCCCCGGGGGCCGCTCCTGCGCGTGACCGATCTCCGCCTAGTATTCGCTGCGTGGCTCTTCAGTGTCTCGCCGTCACGAGACAAGAAATCGCTCGAGTCAGGCTTCTGTCGTGCGCCTGGTTTGACCTCCTCCTCCTCCTTCTCCTCCTCCTTCTCCATCATCATCATCATCATCATCATCATCATCATCATCATCATCATCATCATCATCATCATCATCATCATCATCATCATCATCATCATCATCATCATCATCATCATCATCATCATCACTTACCTTCCCCGGGAAAATCCTTTATTATCCCCGCGGGAACCGCGAACTTCATTATCCGCGGGGGTTTATTATCGCCCGTTAAGGGGTATTTTTTCCTGGAGCTCTAGGTGTTCGAAAACGGCGCAGGCCTGGCCGGTGGCACCACCCGCGCCCCTCTACACTTCTCACCTCGCTGTGCGCTGCCCTTGAGGCGCACGCGTCTCGGCGGGGGCATAGAAGACTGGCCCTGTGGCACGTCCATCCCTCTCACGCTTGGGTCCCACCCTGCAGCGCCCCCGCGGTGCAAAAAAGCGCAGGCCGCGTTCGTGTCCGTGAGCACCATCGGCAGCGTGTGCCTCCGCCGAGACAAGGCGATCCGATACCGATCTCGGCACCGGTGGTGATATTCGGGCCCTTGGGTGGCCGAAATCCTGCCACGAACGGCAACATCTGCGATCCTCTCCCCCCAGTGGTGGAGGCGATCCGATGCATCCGAGCTCCGCCCCGCGGAGATGAAGCATCGGCGCAAGCGCGAGTTTTCGAAGCCCCGCGCGGACTTTTTGGGTCGGCGGTGGATCCGCCTCGCGGCGCCTTCGGCGCCGCTCCTGGGTGGTCCAGCGCCCCTTGGACAGCATCCGTGCAGACCTCTGGAGGTTTCTGCGCGTGCTGACTTTTTGTGCTGTTCGTCCCGTCGCCACCTCCTGCTCCGCCTTAGCAGCCTCCTGTGCCTTTTTCCTCTCCGCCTCGCGGGACTGTTGCTGGTCCTCCTCCTCCTCCTCCTCCTCCTGTCTTCTTCTTCTCCTTCTCCTCCTCCTCCTTCTCCTCCTGTCTTCTTCTTCTTCTTCTTCTTCTTCTTCTTCTTCTTCTTTCCACATCATCTTCATTTTCCCTCGTCCCAGCTCATCACGCCTCCCCTCCTAGTCATCTTTATGCTTCTCCCTCCTCGCTCCTCTTTCCTCGCCTCCTCTCTCGGCCCCTGGGCCCCTCGCCCATCCTTTCGCAGCTCGCTCCTCACTCCCTTCTCCCGCCTCCTTCCTCCTCGTCTCCCCTAGGCTCGAGCGGGCGTGTTCGAAAACCGACTCTGGCGCGGTGCGCGCTCCGCGGCAAGCCCAGGCGTCCGACGGCGTGCTCCTCCTCAGTCCGCGGACCCCAGCGGGCCGCTTTTCGCCCCGGACCCACGTCCGAGCGGCCCAGGCCCAAGAGTGGCTCTGCACGCACGAAATGGGTACAGAAAGAATGGGTACAATGCCCAACAGCAGTTCAACAGCGGCCGCTGTTGGTTCGGGACAACACTTGCTGTTGGGCATTGTGCCCATTGTTTCCGTGCCCATTTCGGGCGTCCAGAGTGGCCCCCACGAGCCCGAGATGTAGTCGCGACGAGCTGGAGCACCGTCGCGCCTCGGTGCGGCGGCCGCTCGGTGCGCGGGGGGGCCGCGGGCTGGGCCGCGCAGCGGCAGATCAGCACCGGGGGGGCGGCGGAAGAGCAGAGGGCGGTCTCGGAGAGGGGGCTCCGCGGGCATGCGAGGCGCGCAGCAGGACGCGATGCTCTAGAAGCCAGGAGATTCGAGTAGTGGATCGATTGTAACATTGATTTACCCCCAATATTTGTCCCTCGAATCTGCGAAAAGTGCGCAGAATTGGGTTGCCGAAACTCCGAGGGTGCCGCGTACTTTTTCGGAGATCCGGCGAGCACTTCTGGGACCGATGGGCAGGCGGGGCGCTCGGGACGTGAAGTTCTGGACGTCCGGATGGAGCAAGAAAGCGCGACGCCGGATGCGTGGGAGTCGGCCTGAAAGCAAACGAGGCCACCCCACCTACGGCCTTCCACGTTGCGCCACGGCCCATTGGGGGCCGTAGCTAGGGATAAAATCTCGGAGGTCCCCGCGGACCTCAGAATTTTTATGTTTATGTCATTGTTCGTTCTCCTAGTAGCGTATACCACGCAGAAGCCCACGCCATACGCCAAGCCCCCGGTGGGGCCGCAGGCGGGGTGGTGTCGTTCTGATTCCTGGTCCAGGGAGGAGTGGATGCAGCGTCCCTGCCCCGCGCTCCTGTGCCTGCTGCTGCCGCTGTCGCCCGTGTGTGCCGACCCGCCCGCGGTGGCCTGGGCTCGACGACGCCGACATTACGTCGACGACGACGACGTCTCGACGACGGCGACCTGGCGACGACAACCGACGACTCCCCGACGACGTCCCGGCCGACGACGACGACCACGACGACGACGACGACCACGACGGCGACGACGACGACGACGACGACGCCCGTGCGAGGCCTACCACGACGACCACGACGCCCCGGTGCACACGACTCCACGGTTTTTTCGGGCCACGAACTCGGGTCTCCGGCCGCCGCTCAGGACAATCTTGGCACTTCCTCCTCCTCTTCCTCTCTTCCCCCTCCTCTTCCTCCTCCTCCTCTTCCTCCTCCTCCTCTTCCTCCTCCTCCTCCTCCTCCTCCTCCTCGTCCTCCTCCTCCTCCTTCTCCTCCCCCTCCTCCTCCTCCTCCTCCTCTCCTCCTCCTCTCCCTCCTCCCCCTCTCCTCTCTCCTCTCCTCCTCCTCTCCTCTTCCTCCTCCCTCCTCCTCTCCTCCTCCCTCCTCCTCCTCCTCCTCCTCCTCCTCCTCCTCCTCCTCCTCCTCCTTCTCCGGCCGCCGTTCAGGACAATCTTGGCACCCCCCGAGGCGCAGCTGCTGGAGGGCATCCCGAGGCGACAGCGCTTGATAGAGCCAACGAAAACACCCAGGGAAAACCTCCAGAGGACAAGCGACACGCCTTCGCCCCGACGACGACCACGACCGCGACGACGACTGCCGCCGAGGGTCCACGACGTCGGACCAGCAGTCCGCTCGAAATCGGCCCCTGGACTCCCTCCCGTGTTTCACCCTGGCCAGCCCTCCGAGCCGCGCCCGGCCACGGCGACGAGGACCCCCAGGAGCGCCTAGGCTCCGAGACGACGCCGCCGCCGCCCGCGACGCCGACCGAGGCGGACGGCGCGGAGTGCCTCGCCTGGCGCGGCGACGGCGGCTGCGAGGGCATCCGCGACGAGGCGCGGTGCCTGGGGAGCCGCGACGGGCGCCCGTGGCGGCGCTGGGGCGGCCTGGCGCTGGCAGGCCCGGGCGGCCGCCCTCGCCGCTCGGCCGATCCAACCGACAGACCGCCGACCGCCGATGGACCCGAGGCGCCGACCGTCGACGGGCCCGGCGGACCGCGCGCTCCGCGCTGGGGGTCCCCCCCCCCCTGGAGGCCGAAGTCGTGAAGCGAATCCATTCCGCCGCAACACGTATCCTCGCGACGCTTCGATCGGGTGTTGCCCCGGGTGTCCCTGGCCCAAGGTCCCCCCAGGATTTTCATGGAGGCCCCCCCGAGTACCTAGCACGAGGTCCAGGGGGCCCTGGGGAATCCAGAATGGGGCGAACAGCTGGAGACAAAACACTCTGGCAACCTGCGCCTGAGCGGGCGGCGCCCGCGAGTCGCTTCACCTCCGCAGACAGGAGGCGTCTCGAACAACTAGAAAGGTGGCAGGCTGCTCGTCGTGCTCGGCCTCCAGGG